TGTCCCGTGCTTCACTTCCGGGCCTGCTCATAGTTGTCGGTGAACCAGGCACAGGTCTCCTTTACAGCTGCAGAGGCAGACAGATGAGAGGCGGTGACACCACCCGCCCTTCCCCCCTCTCCCCCTCCCCGGAGGTAGGAGGCTCCACCCACACACCCTAAACTACAGTGTCCAGCTTTCTAGTGGATATAACCTCTGAGGGGGGCTTGGTAACCAAGCCTGCAGGGCCTCACGTGGAGGCTGAGCCCACTGGAACAGCTGATGCTGAAGTTCAGAGCTAGCTGGCAAGCACAGCTTGGGGTGGATAAGGGTTCTGGGAAGGACAGCTCACCTTGCTTGAAAGGTGTGAAACGGAAGTCAGGCAAGTAGGACCGAAGCTTGCCATTGCTGGCTGTCTTCTTATACTGTCCATCCGACTTTGTTGAATCAAACTGGACGCCTTAGTCAAGGCCATAGCAGAAGAAACAGTTACGTATTTGCCCTACCTGGACCTATCTTTTTCTGGAACATGTCCAAGACACAGCAGATCCCCTCCTATTGCCAGGGTGAGCACCACCAGAAACAAAATGGTGCTGTGTTGGCCATGCTAAAAGGGAAGCCACAGTACCCCACCACAGTACCCCACCATCAGCCCCTCACTGGAGTCAAAAGATACAGTGACTTCCCCACAGAAGCCCATTGCCTCCACGACAGCCTCGGCCGCCTCCTTGATGGACACTTCATCTTCCTCGCCCACTGTGGGGAACCACAGGCCAGCAGTCAGTCAGGCCTCCCTGTCCAGACCCTTAGGGGCATGTCTGCTCCCACTCGTCAGGGTAGGCACGGGTCCTGCCCTGCTGCAGAGCGCCCACCTGAGAGGATGATGGGCTCCACCTCACTGTATTCCCGCAGGACCCAGATGAAGAGCCGGGCCAGGTCCTGGAGGTCAGAGATTTAGGTCAAACCCATAAGTGAGTACCAAATGCCCCTAGTGGGGAGGTTGTACTGCTGTGTCTGCTCCTTTGGGGGCACAGCCAGCGTTCACCCTGGATGAAGGTCCCTCACCCAGGCTATACTCTCTCCTGCTGAACCCAAGTTGCACCCCTGGGGACTTGGCATTTTCAAAGACTGTTTCCTATGCCACCGCTTCCCACACAGCTTTCTGGGATGGCCATGCTGCCCCTATACATACCAGAGAGTAGATGAACTGCCTCCGTGGCTTCCCCGTACCCCACACAGTCAAGGCTGAACCATTACCTATAGATGGGGCAGGGGTCAGAGCTCTGCACCCAGAGTCAGCGCCCTGGCCACCCCACAGCTGAGCCCAGGGCCCCTTCAGGCAGGTAACCTGCGCCGGGCGTGTGCTGGACAGCTTCACTCACTCTTGGCCAGGTGCACCTTGTGGATGAGGCCAGGTAGCACATGGCCATCTTCGATGTTGAAGTTGTCATGTGGCCCGAAGACATTGGTGGGGATGACAGCGGTGAAGGTACAGCCATGCTGCTGGAAGTAGGCCCTACAAAGACACAGTGTCTCCTGACCTCATCCCCGGCATGTGCCTCTAGTGTCCCCAGCTCCTTCTGAAGTTGTATAAATGAGGCAGCGACGACAACACCCCACTAACCCGGGGGTCCATCCTCCCCTCTCCAAGGAGGCCTAGGCAAGACCAAGAAGTAGCACCTGTTCTGCACATCAATCATCCTCTTGGCGTATGAATAGCCAAAATTGCTGCTGTGCGGTGGACCATTGTGGATCTACAAGGAGCAGAAGATACACTGAGAACCCCCACCTGGCTCCGCCCACACCCTCAGGTCCCTCCCCAGGAGGCCCTCCTCACCATTGTCTCATCAATAGGATAGGTGGTCTTGTCAGGAAAGATACAGGTGGACAGGCAGGAGACCACCTTGCGAGTGCCCACCTCGAAGGCTGAATGCAGGACGTTGTCATTGATGTGCACATTCTTCCTCTGCAGTGGGTAGCACAGGTGGGTTAGATATTGTGGATTTTTAATTTAAGATGTGTTATGTTTGTTTATGCTGTGAAATATTTGTTTAATGATGCAAAGATGTGCTGCATTCTTTTATGTTGCATTTTTTTAAAAACTCTGTAAAGCTGTGTTACTTTGCCTGCTTACACCACCTGATTGATCTAGTAAAGAGCTGAATGGTCAATAGGTAGGCAGGAAAGGGATAGGTGGGGTTGCCAGGCAGAGAGAATAAATAGAAGGAGAAAAAGAGAAGAGGAAAGAAGCAAGAAAAGGAGGAGAGGACACCAGAGAACAATCACAGAGTAAAAAGGAAAGAAACATATACAGAATAAAGAAACGTAAAAAACCCAGAGGCAAAATGTAGTTAAAGAGAAACAGGATAATTTAAGTTAGAAAAGCTGGCTAGAAACAAGCCCAGCTAAGTTGGGCATTCATAAGACTAAGTCTCCGTGTATTTATTTAGGAGCTGGGTGGCGGCCCCCCCAAAGAGTTAAAAAAAAAAAAACCCAACTACATAGGCTGTCCGTGAATGACTCAAGCTCCTTCCTCTTCCTCCAGGGAGAGACATGGGAACATAGCCTAGCTCAGATATGAGCATTATCTGTGCCTATTTTGAGATTTTGTTTGTGCTGTAACAAATAAAGCTTGCCTGAAATCAGAGCGCACAGCTAGTCATACGAGTGAGCCAAAAAGACCAGGCAGTGATGGCTCACACCTTTAATCCCAATGCTTGGGATCACACGCCTGACTCTGCCTGACTCTGGTTCTCTTTCAGACTGGATCAATCTCCTGTAGCCCAGGGTGGCCTTGAATTTGCAGAGCTCTGCAATCTGATCTTCAAGCAAGCTTTATTTGTTAAAGCATCACCACACTTCTGGAATAAGGCTAAGCCTCCCAGCACTGACCTTATAGAAGCTGCCATTATCTAGGGACACAGGAAGGTCCTGCCCTGCCTGCTTGGGTGTGGGTGCCAGAATAGCATTTCCAGGGCTCCTGAGTGCTGGGCAGTTGATAGAGATGAGGAAAACTGTACGTGGGGTTCCCACCACAAAGAAGTAGCACGCCCTTCCCAACTACAGAGGAGTCATGCCCAGCTGTATGTCTTAGTGTCTTGCTTTGCCTCTCTCCAGTTCTCTTCCCTAAATTGTTATGAGGCATACTGGTCTAAGAACAGAAAAGAGGTAGTGACCACGCAGTTTGCTGAAAACACTGGGATGGGCAAGAAGAACTTTGGGTGACTGAGTCCTTAAGCAAATTTGGTGAAAACCGTTCCATACTGCAGTGTGTAGTCAGGCCAGCCAGGACAAAGTCATTGCCCAGAGGCAGGTGGGCAACTCTTCAGAGCCCAGTTCACAGAAGCAGAGATCTTATATTTTGCCCTTCCTCCTAAAGCACATGCTAGAGACACTCCAGCATCCAGAAGTGGCTGGTAGATTCAGGGAGCTGAATGAACCAAGCCTGGGAGTTCAAGGATCTGGCAGCTGAGCAGGCTCAGTAAGCAGAAACCTGCCTCCAGTTACACAGTGTGGAATGCTAGCTCTTTCAGCTTCTCAAGCCTGCAGGTCAGCACTTGGCCAAATGACCCCAGGGCTATGCAAAACCAGTCCTCAAGGACTTCTTGGGAATCTGAAGAGCCTAAGCTCTGGGCTCCCAAGGCTTATTGTCCCCAGTATCCCAACTTACCCAGAAATCCAAGTTGTATTTGATATTCCGGAAAAGGCCGCCTACCATTGCAGCAAGATGGATGACATGGGTGGGTTGTACCTTCTGGAACAGGGCCCGGGTTTGTGCTGCATCCCTGAGGGGGAAGTCAGCACGTCAGGGGGCCTGGTGAGGCCCAGGGAAATCAGGAATTAGGAACTTGGGCAGTGGGTGGAGAAACTGGATGGGTCTAAGGCTAGAAGGGCAGCCAAAGGGACAAGTAGCCAAGTTCAGGACTGCAGCTGGCATTGGGTGTGAGCACCCGGAACTATAGGAGGATGTTTGCTTAGCACAGCCAGCAATCGTAGCCAGATCAGTCACCTGGCAGGGAGGGCACAGACTCAAGGAGGGCTCCCGCTAGGCCCAGGGACTGGCCCAGCAGTGCACTCTTCAGCCTGGAGAGGGGACCAGGAGCAGGGGCTGGGTCTGAATGTGGCTCCAACTCACGTCAGATCTGCATCTTTGGAGGAGACAAACACCCATTCCTCTCCAGGTAAGCCGGCCCCATCTGCGACCACCTTCTGAATGGCTTTGCCCACCAGTCCAGAGCCCCCTGTCACTAGGATCCTCATGGATCCCTGGGGCTCACCCATTGTGGCTGCACCTGGAGGGCCAAATGTGAGAGCTAAGGAGGATACAGGATGTGCTGTTTTCCCCACCCCATTCTCATGAGCCAACGGACAACAGGCACAGAATCAAACTCCCAAGGAGGAGCAACCATGGCCTGCCAGGCACACCCTGCTCCGTTCCCCTAAGAAGTCCTTTGCCCTGGGCACCACAGGTTCCTGCTGGCTGCTATCCAAACTAAAGTAGCTTGGTTCCAACTACTAGGCAGAGGAAAGATACATCCCAACCCTACGACTGAAAGATTAGGGTTGACAGTTCCGAGCAAAGATCGTAGCGGTTACTTGTCGCCTACTCACTTCTACAGACAAGCGGCAGTACCCGTGCTTGGAGCCCCGAACCCACTAGTGCTGAGATGATAGCCTATGGCCTAGGAAAGCCTAGTTCTTCTAGGTGCTGGAAGGCCTCGGGACGCTGAAAATATGCTCCTGCAGGATGGCTCTGGCCCAGTCGCATGGCTCTACCACCACTCAGATGAACAAGGGCCCAGCCCATACACCCAGTGGTCCACTACCATACACCCAGTGGTCCACTACCTCGCAGGCCACCCAGCCCAAGCCCACGAAGACCTCCTATGCCAGACGCACTCTTACCGCCTCGACCAACCAGACTGTGGGGTCCCTGGTTTGCTGCGCTGTGTCCACCCAGGAGACTCACCTGCTCCAGGTTCCACCAGTCCTAGAGCTGCTTCCGGTGCACAATTCTCCAGCTACCCGCGGTCCAGGTGGAGGGGGCGAGGCCCTCCCGGGGAGTACTGGGAAATGGAGTCTTGGTTATGCACCGGAGCGGCGCGGGTGATTCTGGGAAATGTCCTCCGGGCCTCAGCCTTCTGGGAAACCGAGTTCTGTGGGCGTGGCGTGGGCGCTGAGAAGCTGAAGACCAAACACACTCTGGTGGTTGTACGGATACCAGTCTCGCAACGCAGGAGTGGTCTGGCCAGGAATCTCTATTTTTTTTTTTTCGAGACAGGGTTTCTCTGTGTAACAGCTCTAGCTGTCCTGGAACTTGCTCTGCAGACCAGGCTGGCATCGAACTCACTGGGATCCCCCTGTCTATGCTGGGATCAAAGACTTGCACCACCACCGCCTGGCCTCTAGGTGGTCAGTTGTGTGTTTCAGCCAAGAATTCACAGAAGACTCGGGTTCTTTTACCTAAGTAGAGTATTTTAAAGGAATGAATAAAATCCCTTCTGCCGCAGGACGGTGGTAGTGCACGCTTTAATCCCAGCACTCCGGAGGCAGAGGCAGGCGGATCTCTGAGAGTTCCAGGCCAGCCTGGTCTACAGAGCAAGTTCCAGGATAGTCAGGGCTACTACATAGAGAGATCCTGTCTGAAAAAAATCAGAATCAAACAAACAAAAACTCCTACAATCCCGGCACGGGCCCCTTTGGCCGATAGTTTAAATTTTCAATATGAAACATAATTTAAGCTGTTGTTGAGGCTGTTACATAGAGAAACCCTGTCTCAGAAAGCCTCATACACATCTATCTATCTATCTATCTATCTATCTATCTATCTATCTATCTATCTATCTATCTATCTATC